CACTGCATTACCCATATTCACCCTAACAGTCCTCCAGCAGCTGTCACAGTGCCCAACACTGACCACTCTGGTCACAATTGTGAACTCCACTGCCCAGCGGCCCCGTGAATTTTTGAAATGCCTTTTCCTGATTGTCCAGGATGGCAAGTACACCTACAGCTCTCCATTATTGTGTGCAACTGCCCAGCTGACCATACCGGCTACATACTTCAGAAGTGCTCTGGCTTCGAGTAGACAGGAGATATTGGATCTCCTGATCCTCTGGGGAGAAGAGGCTATGCAGACACAGCTATGGACCAGCCATAGAAACATTGACGTCTACGAGCAGATTTCATGGGGGATGCAGGAGAAGGGTATGACAGGGACCAGCAGCAGTGCCATGTGAAAGTGAAGGAACTTCAGCAGGCATACCACAAGGCCAGGGAGGCCAACAGTCGATCCAGTGCCAAGCCTCAGACCTGCTGCTTTTAAAAAGAGCTGCTTGCCATGTTTGGCAGAGACCCCCCATGACCCTGCAGATCATCATGGATACCTCTGAGGAGCCCAACCCACAGCCCCCTGGCTTGAACAGTGAGGATGAGAAGGAGGTGGAGGAGGATGAGAGACATGTGACTAGGGCCCAGCTATGTCGCAAGCCAGGACTTGTTTGGGACTCCACCACAGTCCAGTCAGTCCTGGCAGTCGAGCCCAGTGAAGGGGAAGGATCATCGAATAAGCGTGTAAATGTATTTCTCACAGTGATGACGTTAGGAGTCCCTAACTTAACAGGATGCAGCTCATGACTTTTCATTAATTTACTCGTACTAGAAGAGGTAAGGTACAACAAAGAGAGGTAGAGTTGCGATCTGCTTTTCATTGCTCCTGAGAGATCTCGATGAAACTTTCATGAAGGCATTCTTCAATCCTCTCCCAAAGGTTTCTAGGGACGGAAGTCTTATTTCTTCATCCAAAGTAGGGCACTTTCCCGTGCCAGTCAGTGATAACTTCAGCAGGCACCATTGCAGTCAGTACACAAGATAGCAACATATAGGCCTAGGTGGCTCCGGGACGCCAACAGCAGCTGTGCTCTCTGTGTTACCCTCAGGAGTCATACTCACTGTGGCTGGTGCTGTGAGTGGTGCCATGCACCAGTAATCCCAAGCAAAAGAGCCAATTAGCATGTGTTGTTGAAAACATTAGGGGAGGAAGGGAAGGGAAGGGGAGTTCTGAATCTTTTGCTTTCTGTTGTGACTATTCTGACAATGGTACCTCTGTGTGTTTTATCTGCAGTTGCTGTCATTGTGACCTTGAGGGGTTCCTCCTCCACACCTGCCGAACGCCTGAGCCAGATAGGGAGGAGAAAGAAGAGGACTCAGGCTGACATGTTCAATGAAATCCTGCAAGCCAGTGCTGCATCAGACCCTGAGCACAGGGCCTGGAAGGTGAACATTGCAAACAGCCTAGAGAAGGAAAGAGTGCAGAGGAGAAAGGCCCAGAAGTCCCAGCAGGAAAAGGAGAGGAAGATGCACCAGCAGGTAATGAGGCTTCTCTGGCAGCAAACACAGATCCCGCAGACTCTTGTGGACCTACAGATTCAACAATCCAGGGCTTGCCCCCCTCTGCAGTTCATAGAGAACTCGATTGCAGCACCACCCCCCAAACATTCCTTACGTCATCAGGGGCTGCTGCCTACCTCTCCACCTGGGGGGACATTAAAGACTACCAAAGCTTCACATACACTGACCTGTGAAAGCCACAGTTGGAGTATGTAGCTAAAATGTACATGAATGTTCTTTCCCCTTGTAAAGTTCTGTTCTATTCATTTATTAAGTTTTCAGTGTATTTGCTTTAAAATTGCACAGATTTTTCTTTTCACTGATTGTTTGGAACATAATTCATCTTTATTAGTTCACGACATATGCTGCAGAGTGCCTAGCGGTTCTGAGAGCACCCACTTACTGGTTACTGTACAGTGTGACACAACTCATAGGATCCGTAACAAACAAAATGAATAGGTGCAATGACAGTGTTACATTCATACAGGTACACCAGCACCACACAGTTCTTAACAGGCCAAAAACAGCAGGGACAGGTAGAGCATTACTGTGTCTCACTGTTAAACTACTCTTTCAAAGCCTCCCTGAGCCATATAGCTCCGTGTTAAGCTCTTTTAATAGCACTTATATCTGGCTCTTCCAACTCAGCAGACAGCCACTCCACCTCTGCACTCAACCCCAGTGGAAATGTTTTCCCTCTTTGGTTCACAGATATTATGCAGGACACAGAAGGCAGCTATAACAGTGGGATATTTTTCTCACTGAGATCCAATCTTGTGAGTAAACAACATTAATGTCCCTTCAGTCTACCAAAAGCACATTCAACTATCATTCTGCAACTGCTGAGCTGCTAGTTGAATCTCTCCTTGGTGCTGTCGAGGTGGCCAGTGTATAGCTTCAGGGGAACTGGGGGTAGGCTGGGTCCCCCAGGATCACTATTGGCATTTCAACATCACCAGTGGTAATCTACCAGTCAGCAAAGAAAGTCCCTGTTTGTAGCTTTCTGAACAGCCCTTTGTTCTTAAAGATGTGTGTGGCATGCACCTTCCCTGACCAGCCCACAGTGAAGCTAGTGAAGCATCCCCAGTGATCCACCAATGTTTGCATAACCATAAAAAATTAGCCCTTTCTGTTGATGTCACGCTCTGGCAAGGTGGTCTGCCAAAATAGGGATAGGTATGGCATCTATTGCTCCAACGCAGTTCAGGAACCATACTGCTGCAAATCGAGCCACTATGTCCTGCACATTGCTGAGAGTCACACTCTTGCATAACAAGAGGCGATTAATGGCCCTGCACACTTGATGACAGCTCCCACAGTGGGTTTTCCGAAATGATTCCCTGCTGACTGGCAGCAATCTGGCTTTGCAAGTTTCCACAGTGCGATCGTGACTCACTTCTCCACTGTCAGTGCAGCTCTCATTTCATTGTCCCTGAGCTGGAGGGTCAGGGCAAGCTCAGCACATAGATCCAGGGATGTGTCCTTGTGCAGCTGAAAGCTCTGCAGCCACTGCTTGTCGTCTCAAGCCTGCACTATGGCATGATCCCATCAGTCAGTGCTCATTTCTCAGGACCATAAGCGACACTTCACCATCGGCAGCTGCTCCACTACCACCAACCTTGAACTGATTCTTGCTATGTCCCACAGCAATCTGTCCTCCAAAAACTGTCATGTTTCCTGTTGATTTGGTTCTTTTCGGGTTCTGCAACTACCAGAGGATTGTGTGTTCTGTGCTTGCAACGCTCACCACAATAGTGCAGAGCTGTGCAGGCTCCATGCTTCTGTCAGAGTCGGTGGACAGCGAGGAGGGCTGCATGGGTTTTGGGGATTTTGAAAAGAGGAACGGAAATTATGGGATATGGATGATATTATGGGATGGAGACAGTTGCACACTGGGAAGTTGACTTCTTGCTCCCAGTCACCCCTTTACGACCCGTTTCTACGCCACCATGCATAGCCAAAACTTCCCAAAAAAGACAGTGAACTGAATGATGGGGGGTGGGGGAGGGGCGAGTTACACACTGGGATACCTACCTATGGTGCAATGCACTGTGCATTGATATAAGCACTGCTGGTGAGTACATGCACTGCCAACACTAGGAGCCAAATATGCATGCACACAAGTGATATACTAATTGCGGGGGCTTTATATCGATATAATTTGTATCGACCAAAGTTTGTAGTGTAGACATAGCCTGAAACTACAAGGCTCTCAATTTTCCCAGGGATAGATGTTCCACAATAGTTGACGATTAACAAAATTATTTAGATGGATTTAACTAAGGTCCAGACTGCTGACACTAGGTGATTTTTTAACCCTGCTGAAGTTTTGGAAACCTGGTATGAACAGAACAACATGGCCATGGTGGTGCTCACTTTCCTTTTTCTCACACATTATTTTTCAGTTACTGAGATGTAAAACGACCTGCCTATCCAAACTACCATGGGTATTAACTGATCTTGAAAACTCACCCACTGCACACGTCCTCAGATAATAACTCCGTCTTTTAGCATGATCCCACAGTGTTTATGGTTCATATAGTTAATGTGTATGTAAATAGCAAAGGCATAATTAAGACACAAAAGTGCAACATGCATATTGGTCTCAGACTGAAAAATTTTCTTAATTTTTTTTCTTGTATGCTTAAGCAGGATGCATCTTTGTGACTATAATTAGATCCATTATTTGAGGAACTTGGGGTAATTGGAATCTAGCCTTTTTCCATGTGGATTGGGTGCAGATGGACTGAATGAATAAAAACGAAGATTGTGGGGATGCATTATACATATGAAAATCCCGCATAAATGAAGTACAATTGTTTTAAAGGGCCCTAGGCAATTATCCTGATTATTGTTTTATGAGGGAACCCCATTAAGGTGAGTTGCTTAATTATATTTCTGTACAGGGAAAAATTGCCAGCACTAAATATTTTAGACACTTTACCTGCCAAATAAATGCTGGCAGAAGATTAACGGAGCACTTCTGCTGCCAACAGCGGTACAGAGAGTTCTTTTGCTGTGGGGGTGGCGTTGGCACACTATTTATAAGCCTCCTGAAAGGGGATCATTTCTATAACTAATTTTTACCTAGCCTCTATTCTGTAGGTATAAAAGATAACTAGAATTCCTTATCTCTACAACTCACAGATAAGAGATCATTGCACTCCAGATAAAGCATGATCTTTCTCTGTTCCATATTGGGGATACTTTTGTCTGGTCAGTTTCCTGAAACATTATGGATCTTATAGTATGTCTCAGTCTATTAATGGAAAAACTACTGAAACTTTGCTCACCTTGAGAAATAAGCTCTTAGGAATGGTCCTTGTTCCTCCAAATTGCTATAGCGTATGAAATAGGATATGAAGTAGAATGTGACTTTATCATAACTACTTACCCCCAAACACACAAAACACACCACCACTACCACAATCACAACAACAACACTGGACAAAAAGAGTTACTTACATTGAGTGAGGATCCCTGTTAAGGCATTTTTAAAACTCTCCTTGGCTTGTTCCATTTCTTGTTCATGAGTGGCTTTCTCATTCATAAGTCGGCGAACGTGGCTATTTGCTGACTGCACCATTGAATAGAATTGATTTGCGGAGCGACGATTCACCTCGCCTCGCTCAATCCAGGTAAGCAGCACTGTGATGGCCTCTGAAAATTTGCTGTCATCTAGAACAGTCAAACCACAGGTTTTAAATTACAGATATAAATATCCCAGGAACGATACAATTTCTGCGCTATGCCACATTAAAATGCTCATCAATTGTGCTTACACTGTATCATATTGGGTTACACTTTTGGGTCTATTGTTCCATCAGATCTGGGGAGCTGATGCTATCATATGAAACTCCATAAATTTTCATCCAAAGCCTGTCTTCTAGTGATTATAATAGTTCTTTTCCTTGAAAAAAAAAAGGGGGGGGCCTGAATTTTCACATGCACTAAAGAAATGGGAAGTGTGTGTGTGTGTGTGTGTGTGAGAGAGGTGCTAGATGTATTAAACGGTGTAAGGGATTTAATGTGGAAGGCTATAGTGTGATGTTTCCGTTACGTCAGGGAGCACCTGCATTTTGTGTCCACATTGATTGGCCTTTAGTATTGTGCATTTAAAGGTTTGTACATATTCCCAAAGACCTCGAGCTGGGCAAATAATAATACATTCTTCTACAGTAAAAATTCTGTGTTCTGTGTATCTTGTCAAAACACAGGGCCTAGATCTGCAGATCAATAAATCCACTCAAAATCTTCCAGTGACACAGACCCCCACTACACTTAGTTCCTCTACTTGCACCTATTACTGGACTAGACATTTAGATCCTCTGACTGTCAGATCCTGAGTCTGGACAACAGAGAATGGATCACTTGATAGTGGCCCTGTTCTTTTCATTCCCTTTGAAGCATCTGGCCCTGACTACTGTCAGAAGACAGGATACTAGGGTAGATGGACCATTGGTCTGACCTAGTATGGTCATTCTTATGTTTTTGTGAGGTTGTATAAAATAAAAACTCAACAACCAAACCAGACCAACCCAAGTATTATAATGATAAAAGGCCTGAATCTGTCATCATTACTTAAAATGAGTAATTTATTCATATAAGGCTTCTCAGTGACTTCAAGGAGACTAGCAAGAGTGCTACTCACCATCAGTAAAAGTAGAAGAATTGGGATGCAAATTAGAGTTGGGAAATATCTACTAGGCCATCTTACTCACTAATCCTTCCAGTGCAAAATTTCACCCTACAGTATATTTTCTAGTACTTCATCTAATACTTTTTTTTATTGAAGATCTCCTGGGATGATTCTTCCACATCTTCCTCAAGAGAGTCTTACAGTGAGGTCCATTAAACTGTGAAATAAAACTTCCTTACAATTCAGCCTACATGTTATTTTTTTTCTGATTTTGTCCATTTACTGAATAATTCATCCCGATGCTTGGTGTTTACTTCCTTCATATATTTTAAATGATTAGTATTTCTCCCCTGCTGCATAAATGACTACTGTTCTGGGGGGAAGGAAGCAGAGGTTTCTCCCAATGCCATTTCAAATGAATATGTGAAAATGTTAAAACCAGCCAATGATGTGGAGAGATCTGGCAAGTTTTTTTAATTGTTTTGTAAGGTAATACAATCTATCTGTAAGAAATAATAAAATAAGTAATAATAATTCTTATATGTTGTACAGGACTGTTTATTCTAGATCACAAATAACGATATAAGACCCAGAAAGGTTCAATGAGTTGCTTGTGGTCATGCAACAGGTCGGTGGCAGATTAAGGAATAGACCCCAGGTCTCTGGACTCTTAGTTCAGCCCCCTATTCACTGAACCATGCAGTCACTTACAACAGCTGGATTCAATTGCTACCAGCTGGATAGACTTTTTGCATTTGAGAGACTCTCAGAAATCCACAAAATAAAAGCATCACAATGTCCTATTTTTTCATTGCGTTGTGTGTGTGTTGTGACTTTGCATCCACACATGATCATGCCCTCATTCTCTTTCACTTATCTTGTGGCCATTGAGAAGGAAAGAAATGGGGGGTCTCCTCTTTCTCTGTCCCACTCTTGGATGCAGGGGCCACCTACCAGTTCTACCTGTGATACACATACATGTACCTGCCAGCACTTAGTTCACTCTCATGAGTGAAGCTCACCAGACATATAGACCTTAAAAGAGCTCTTTATAGAATTCTGAGATAGCCTCAATTCAGCTCAGAAACCACTGAGTTGAGGACCTCTGAGCTAGGATGAAATCCTGAACCTATTGAAATCAATGGGAGTTTTGCTGGTGATTTCAACAGAACAACGATTTCGCCCCTACAGCATAGGTTTTATTTGAAGTTACGATATAGTCAATAGAGAATAGCCTGTAATCATTTCTGTAAACGTTAACATGCATAGTCTTAAAATCCGATTTCACAATAAAGGAACGTCATGAAGCTAGGTGATTTTGTGGACAATACTAGCTTTTTAACTCTGGAAATTCAGCTGATGTTGAACATAAGGTATATAGAGTTGAATAGATTCTTCTCTTTTTTCCTTGTAGGTATCAGCATATCTTACCCCTTATAATTTAGCATTCAGGAAAGACCCAATACTAAAGTAGCATTTAGAATAAATTATCTTATCCTTTTTAGGTTAAGAAAACAGACAGAAAAATTAAGAGAAATGGTGCACATCAGCTGCCTAATCCAAGTATGATTTCTGAATAAACAGTCAACAGAACTGAACAAAACATATTTAGTTGAGAAGCATTTTTTAAAAAGCACTTTTGCAGAACTATTTTCCCGTTTGCTCTCTTGCTTTAATCTCTGCGCAGCATGCCAGCGCATGCCATTTTGCTATTGAGCCTACAATAAATGAAAACACCACTCTTTTGTTTTTATTAAGCACAGTTGGGGGCCATACAAGATGTTCATAAACATACCATCTTTCTGTCAAACAGTTTCAACCCATTAACTGCCCTGCTCCCTCAACTGTATATTTACTGAAAACCTATTTTAAAATACCCTGATCCCAATGAGCTGTAGGGGCCTGCTAACTGATGGTTCTTCACAAATAGAAAATAAATCTTCAGTATTAAACCTCAGAAACTTTACTAGTTACATAATTAGGAGATATATTTTTCTAATAATTTAATAAATGCTAGAGGGTAATAAATTCACAGCAGAACTACTTTAGTTAATAATAACAGAGGGTCCTGTGGCACCTTTAAGACCAACAGATGTATTGGAGCATAAGCTTTCGTGGGTGAATGCCCACTTCGTCAGACGCATGTCACATGCATGTCACAGGCGTCTGATGAAGTGGGTATTCACCCACGAAAGCTTATGTTCCAATACATCTATTAGTCTTAAAGGTGTCACAGGACCCTCTGTTGCTTTTTACAGATCCAGACTAACACGGCTACCCCTCTGATATTAGTTACAGGTTCAAAAATTCCTAATTTCATCTTCACTCCTAACTTTTTAAATCCATGATTCCACTACCCAGTTACTGACAAATTGCAACTCTAATATAATTAATTTTCTTCATCCAGAACACAGTGTAACTCTTTCTGAGCAATCCCCAGTTCACTTGGAGAACCACCTTTCAATACCTGATATAAATTCTTATTCAGTAGAAAGTTTTCTCTACCAGAGAACACAAAAACAAGAGAATCTAATTTAAACAGAGTTTGGGTTGCAGTCTTTTTAAAGCCATTCGTTTAGACAGAAACTAATTCTGTTCACAGGTATCACCTCAGAGGTACAGCAATAAAAATACAGAGCACTGTTTAAATACATGCTCTTAGGTATGTTTCTTTATATAATCATTCCATTAAAATGTACCATATATTGAAGTATTTTCTTGCACTTAAATGCAGTCTCCAAAGTTAAAGTGCATTTAGACAAATTATGCCTCTGACGACAGTACATCAATTACACAAACCTACATGGTACTTATGCACAGACTGCTGGGCTTTTAGTTGTATTGAAAGTAGTGATGTGTATCTTTTAAATGCTATCAGTCTTCTGATGACAGCTAGCCTGGTGTCTATTGCTAGAAATGTTTAGGTGTCTTTTTCTGGACACTATCATTCATGTCTCCAGAGATAAGATATTTTAAAATTCTTTTTATGTCAGGTGAAAATAGTTGGCACTTATATCCTAGCTCAAAAGCAAGATGATAGGAAAAATAAAGAAAGGAAAATGATTCCCCAGAGCTGACTAGAAAATTTCCACAAGCAATATTTATATGAAAAATGAGAAACAATTGTTGATGTAAAAAGCAACAGAGGGTCCTGTGGCACCTTTAAGACTAACAGAAGTATTGGGAGCATAAGCTTTCGTGGGTAAGAACCTCACTTCTTCAGA